GAGAAGAGCAGAGAAGAGAAGAGAAGAGCAGAGAAGAGAAGATCACATCAGGAGTTAGGAGCAACACATGAGAGTGGGGGGGGGAGGGGGAATTGCGAGAAGTAAGAATTTTCTTTCATTCCACTCATTCTTTTATCAGGGGACATAAAAACATCAAGGATGAGATACACAACGCTTCTTTCTCTTCATCTCCTTGTCCTCGCCTCCGTCTTCCTCCTCCACTGTGCCAGGGCGGAAGGAGACGAGGACAATGAGAAGAAACTCAGCGCTCTGAGCTCCAAGAAATCCACGACCAAGTCTGAGAACGTGAGACTGGCTGCTTCAAGACGCTCGCTGACCTTCTCCTCGAAAGATTCCCAGGTGGTTCAACCCCAAGACGATGAGGAGGGTGGGATCCGACAAGGTTAATGTCTTCGGTTATGCCGCCTTCATCCCTAGCAAGGAACCGGTGAGCTTCCTACTCCTGCGCTCCTGCTCCTGCTCCTGCTCCTGCTCCTGTTTCCTGCCCCTGCTCCTGCTCCTGCTCCTGCTCCTGCTCCTGCTTCCTGCCCCTGCTCCTGCTCCTGCTCCTGCTCCTGCTCCTGCTCCCTGCTTCCTGCTTCCTGCTCCTGCTCCTGCCCCTGCCCCTGCTCCTGCTGATTATCTTTGCATAGAAATACAACCCGATTACTGATCACAAGCTTCCGCTTGCACGACGATTGAATGCAGGCATGATATACTCCTCCACCCTCTACCATCCCATATCTCATTCGTTCTTCCCTGCATTCCAATCACACCCTTCACTCCTCCTCTCCTCCTCTCCTCCTCTCCTCCTCTCCTCCTCTCCTCCTCTCCTCCTCTTTTCCTTTCCTCCTCTTCTCGCCGTTTTTCTTGCTTGTCTGTTTGAGTCAGAAAGCAGGTTACATCCTGCCAAACACTTTCACACCGAGGGAATGGGCTCCTTTGCGCCGTTTCTTTGAGGAACCAGAACAGGTTATGATCGTCCTCTGCTATCTGTTTGTTTCCCCCCTCCTCCCTCCTGATTTTCCTTCTCTCCCCTCCTTCCTCCTGATTCTCCTCCTTACTCCTTACTCCTTACTCCTTCCTCCTTCCTCCTTTCTCCTTTCTCCTTTCTCCTTACTCCTTCCTCCTTCCTCCTTTCTCCTTCCTCCTTTCTCCTTCCTCACGCATTCTGCTTCATCTTGCAGGTTGAAAATGCTGCTGGAGTCCCACAGAGTTTCCGTCTAGAGCATCGGGTGAGCAGAATTGAGGGACGGAAGACCGGGAGGAGGAGGAGGAAGAGAAGGAAGAGCAGGAGTAGGGGCAGGGGCAGGGGAGCAGCGGCAGCGGCAGCGGCAGGAGCAGGAGAGGGGTTGATTTGTCTTCTCTCGCTCAGTTCGTCTCCTGGTTCACTGTCGTCTCAACCATCTTCGGCGAGTTCGGTTACGTTCCTCGCATCGGCGACTACTTTGCAGAGGATCCTCTCACACCGCACTACCGTCATGTACAACCTGAACCTTCCCCTTCATCCCTCTTCTCCCAGTTGCTCCGCCTACTCCCCCCTCCCTTCCTCTGCTCTTTTTAGCCTCCAACATTGGCCTGCATTGATTTCCATTCCCCTCGCTTCCTTCTTCCCTCCTCCCTGTCTTCTATTCTTCTCTCTCAATCGCCTCACCTTTTCCCCTCTCCACTCCCCTTCCCCCTCTCCTACGCTCCTCTCCTCTCCTCTCCTCTCCACTCCACTCCTCCCCTCCCCTCCCCACTCCTCTCCTCCCCTCCCCTCCCCTCCCCTCCCCTCCCCTCTCCTCTCCTCTCCTCTCCTCTCCTCTCCTCTCCTCTCCTCTCCTCTCCTCTCCTCTCCTCTCCTCTCCTCTCCTCTCCTCTCATTTTCTTTCAGGGTATCAACTCTCTACCTTCTCCTCTCGCCATTCCTCGAATTGTCGGGTGGCTTTTCGTCAGCTTGTTCCCGGCAAACTGGCTGAAGTAACAACTGAACATTTTCCTTCTTCTCCTCTCCTCTCCTCGTCTCTCCATCTTCCTCGTTTATCCTCCTCCTCCCTCGCCCTCTTCCACCTCTCCCTCCTCTCCTACTCTTCTCCTTCCGCCTCTCCCTCCTCTTTCTCCCTCCTGATCTTTTTCGCGCCTCTACCGATGATGTATCTATGGCTCATCCTCGCCTGGTTTCCCCTTGTTCCCTTCAT